TGCTTGACCAGCATCCCTTCACACTATTAAAATAATCCTCTCTTTACTTCCTATTCTGGTCTGTTTTTTGAGAATATATATTTTGTCAGTCTCAAAAACAGTTCATGTCAACAGAGTGCTTTATTATTACTTTTTGGTATGTTCTACCTTGCATTCCTACTCCATAGTTACATGACAATACCCCATAGAGGGGAAATGGATTCATGGACCAATCAAAGGCTACCCCCACTACTCTATATTTATTAAAGTATGGGTGTATCTCAATTCAATAGTTTACTTCCTTGTACACATTTAATAGATCTATTTTTACTTAACCTACCATAATAAATGTTTTTGAGTGCAGTGAGTGTGAGATTTATCGCACAAGTGTCTCATACATCGGCTTTATAGCAGGGATGAGTCAGGTCAAAATTTTTTTTAAATATAAACCACATAAAGATGTCCAGATCTACTGAAATATTGTTTCAGACACAATTACTGGAGAAAAATGACTATACACAAGGCTAATGTCACATAAAAAATCATTAATGCAATGTGAAAACTAAGGGTTGAGTACTCGGTAGTCGCTGTTTCGTTGAAATCAGTCATGTGATGGGGACCGTATGAAACAGAACACATAAAATCATCAGTGAGAACCCTTCTGACAAAGGAAGTATTGTAATCATGTTGTTCGCTTGGCAAAAATAGATTTCAATGTATGGCATCCTTTGGAGACCTAGATGCAACACTGCTGTTATCTGTTTTCACTTGCAAGTGATTTAATGTACAACGTCGGTATATAGAGTATACTGTTAAAACATGTCTTTTTAGCTAGCACGTTATTTTAGCTAATTTAGCTAATCCGCATTGTCGCTAATTTAAAATAAAGTATATTCTCACAGTGAGATTATTGGTATTTTAGCTAAATTAAGATTTAGGTAATTCATGCATTGAGTCAAATTCGCTAAAAAGGCATGTAGCTATTTCAAAGTGTTTGACAGTATGCTATAGTTTCAGTGGTCACATTTTGGCGAAGGTCATTACCAATTGGCACTAATGACATAAAAAGCGATTTATTAAAAATAAAAAAGACCAACAGTTATCGCTTTATTAAACAACACACCATACAATAAATGAATGGGTGCTTCGATTGGAGATGTATATGTACTGAGTGATTCTAATAGAATAAATATGGTACATACAACCATAGACAGTACAGTAGGATCTTATAATAACGTCTATTATACAATGCTTTTAATAATTAGATGGGCTTGCAAAGATAAAATTTCATGGTATTACGGTATTACAACGATGTCGACATTTTCATTTGCATGCAATTTATTTTTCCCTATTGTTACTGTAGTGGTAAATAAACTATATTACAATCTGATAAAACTACCTTTCTCTAATAGTTTACAAGAAAGTCATGACAAACTTGTGAATAAATTACACATATGTAAAGACTACAGTAATTTAAAGAGCGGTGGTTATTTTGTGTAAACATACAATGTAGTGTATATGTGGCTATGGGATCCATATCAAACGTGTAAAGGTCTGTAAAATCATTGTGCGACTTTTTTTTTGTAATGACCCCAGATGACCTGTCTGAAAGTAGACACAAAAAGGGGACAAGCACATGAAGTGAATTATGGAGATTCATACCTATAGCTGAACTACATCAATACAGCATAATATATGGGAAGTACAGTTGATACTAATGGTTTTAACTTACTTTCTAATGGCTGAACTAATTGCACAATCACAAATGAATGACATAAATAACAGGGTTTGATATTCACGTGAAGGTTAGGGGGTCTTAGATCTGGATGCTGCACTAGAATGCTGAGAATAGATGCAATTAAAAATTAATACATGGCCATACATTTTCTTCATATTCTCAATTAATCTAAAATATTTTTAGAAATTTTGGCCTTGAGTGACTTCAGAATACTGATGTACATAGTAATATGCATGTATCTCTTTAACCATCTTTTCTTTTTATGTTCTAAATGATTATTATAATTTTTATTATTATTATTATATGGAGATGATATCACTTATTATTTCATCACACCAGGTGAAGTTTTGTGATCCACCAAATGGCAAACATAGAGGCCCAAAATCCTTCTACTGTATTTATCTGAAACATCGCCCACCGTAAAAAAATTAAAATGAATACCGTAAATACAAATCTAATTAGAGCACTGTAAAATACTTTATTTTCGCTTGGAAATAATTTTCGCTGAAGGAATGACTCAGTGAAAAATAAAATCCAGCAAATATACTTTTTATCGTATATTTTACATTCAACTCTTCAAAAATCAGTGAAAATAAAATCAATACAAAACACTCAAAAAGTTTTTTCAGCGAAAATAAAGTATTTCACAGTAATATGGTAATTTGGGTTAGCATGTTGTCGTCAACGTCAGTTGTTTTATTACGGGGAGTAATTTGGTCATAAATAGAACACACATAACAGGGTATTTATCTGACAGCAGACTACACCAACTATGATATTTGTATGCTACCTATTTTGAAACAAATATTATATATACACCAACATTGTAGATTAATTTATACTGGTGTCCATGGAAAAATAAATCAGACAATCTGACATGCATATACAGGAACACACTGTGTATAACTCTGGCTGACTACTCAATCAACAAAACCTCCGTACCATGTACGTCATAGCCTAATATCCAGTATCCGAATCAGTACCAGTAGCATTTACATGTAGTTGTGCGTCACAGGGACTTAAAACATTCAAATATATTAAAAGCGTTTTTGATTAAACTAACACAAAAACAGTAATATATTCATATTTTAGACAAAGATTTATTACAACCAAAAACAAAATTAAACTCTGCAAAGCTCCCATGTGAATGCAAAATATATGCAATCATTGTTGTTTAATAAAAAAAAAATTCTAAGAAATGAAAATTCTCCACAGTCAGTGAGGGAGCAATGGCATCAGAGGTTAGGATCATCAGCCAACAGATGTTCAGCAGCAATAGCAAATATAATCAAAATGTTGCTTACACTGGTTGAAATGAGACAATATGTAAATTAGCTACTTAATATGCACAGTCATGGCTCCAAAACTAATTATGTTGCATATTACCTCAAGGTACCTACGTACTAATTTTGATCTAAGTCTGCTCAGAAGTTTTTGAAATTGTGCTAACACAGACAGACAGACAGACAAACCAAACTCACTACCCCCTTGTGTGCTTCACACACACACAGGAGCTACAGTGTAATAAATGAAATAATATAATGACTTTCAGACCATCATTAATGTTTTGATGTGTATTAAAACAGGTCGTATATATTTTTGGTATTAAAAAAGCTATAACAGAACCCTTCATGCATTATTACATTTTTTTTATGGCAAGATAAAATATTAGGCTTCAATAGTTTTTGTTTCACCCATGTTATTCTGGATTTTGTTATCAAAGAACCTGTGAACTGTAAGATAATTTTTAAAAATTATACATATTGAAAGTTGATGCACAAGAAATGAAACATCCTTAAAGCAAACTTAGCAGAAAGTAATTTTTACTGAAAAACAAAATTTGACACAAGTAATTTATTTTACAGATTTGTCATAAATTACAAAGGATTTTTTTTTTTTTAGAATTGTTATCATTATTTACCTATATTCTTAAAAATAAAGTTTATTCCTTCCTATCTATCCGGAACAAATAAAGGTTAATAAGGTGAAATTGCGATTACGAATGAGTCATGATTTAATCCCTTCTGGTTTTCAGAAATGAAGGTAGAAATTCTCTCTCATTTAAAAAAAAAAAACTATTTTAGAATGATGATGGGGGAATTCCTCCACGCTTTTTTTAAAATCCTTGATAACTTTGTTTTAATTTCATGTGTGCATTTGCGGATTATATATATATATATGTACTACATTGGAGCAACAGGGTCCTCTTCAATAATTCGGGAAGCAAAATATGGGGTTAATGCAATCCCTGAATTGAATCATGAAATTAAATCGGTTCACTGTTTTTGTCAATAATACAGTTATTCTACTACATGAAAGTTTGCTCAGAAAATAATAACAGCAAAATACTGCATCATCGCAGTAATAAAACCAGACTGTTTATGCTATGTGTCATACAAACATATTACGCAGCTTTCTGATTGCCTGGTGAACCTCAAATGAACTTTGATTCAGTCTTATCATCAGACAAAATATCACGTGACAGCTGAATACAAGCATGTGCACCAGTGGTAGTAACCAAACCAAATACGAATACGAAAAAAAAATGAACCTGAATATGAAACTAACTTCATCATCATTTCAGATAATGCCAACATCAAGGTCATTATTGACATACTCAGATACATAGTCTGATTGACAATCACATTTACTGATTGTTAACACATGAATATTTACATTTCCAGTACTGTACTATATTATATTAGTAAACGTAACACAAGTTTATAATGTTCAATATTATCAATATTATTAATTACACAGAATTCACAGAGACCCTATTCTTGTCATACTTTAATACCTACAAAAGGTATCACGACTTTAAACGCAGTTGTCTAACTTTCACTTTCATGATATATATTGTTTATTATGACAATTTTAAAACGATAAAGGTAGCCAATATACGAAATGGAACATGGGTGAGTTGGATTCCGATATTATCGCACTTAAGTTTAGTCAAAACGTTTGTTATTATTGTTCAGTTTATGTTTCGGTTCATTCAGTCTCCTCGTTTAATATCATTGTTGCATCGTATTCAATGTGAAAGAACGCGGCGTGACTCAGTGTCTCATAACGTATTTGAGCTCGTATCGCACTCTCAATTGAGCAATGTATACGCATACTTATGAATTTCAGGGGAAAACGAATTCCATATCCATCGATCGCTGTGGTGAAACTCGATAAACATTATAAATTTAAAAACAACACATCGATTGAGAGTGAGGTAGTTACTGATTGAGTCATTTAGAAATAAGAAAAACACTTGGTGTGAATCGTGCAATTTTACCTGGTTCAAATTGTCCCGACGCTATAATTTCTCCAAAGGCAGTCTTGGTTTCATCAAATATATCCCCTATCTGCCGCCGATATCGCTCAAACTTGCTGAACTCCGATGGCAGGTTTGCCGCCATCTTGAACTTAATGGACCTACTCCCTGCGCATACCCCGGGCGCAAGTGACGTCAAGTGAAATTTCAATTCATTGCCGATGAGGGCGTATCGTAGCATGTAGGTGAAATAGAGGCAATGCACGAAATGTTTATCAAAACTGACTTTCTATCTATATATAAAATATACACACATACGAACAAGCTGATACTAGTATGTTTAAGAATAAAAATAAAAACAAGTCACATAAAACAGTGAGTTATCCCCCCCCCCAAAAAACATAAATGTAAAATGTCTTGTCACTTGTTTTTGAGGATGCCCAAACATAAACAAAATGTTTATTTTAACAGCAACACTGACCTAAAATACATTACATTATTGTTGAAAGTTGAATGAAATTGAATTTTAGCTGAGACATTTCATCAGTAAGAAGTTATACCTAGGAAATATCCCTGATTCTCTAGTTGATTTTACCATGTGGTGTCTTTTATCTCCATGATTTTACATTTTGTTATTTTCTGTATTGTGAATATTGTTTGATTATTCATTATCGATATTTCAGAAGGTGTGTGTTGTTTGGTCCAGTAAATTATTTTGGGTTTTTGTAGCAAGCTAGCAGTATTAGCGATTTAAATCCACGATTTGTTTTAAAACTTTGTCCTACCATGGAGGTAAACATTCTGCCTAGACAGCAACAGGCCAACACTGAGTTGTGATCCACCACTGCTGTGTATAATCAAACTACCTGCTGCGAGTTACGGAGTTCGTATTACCAGCTGGCATGGAAACTTGTCGTGTTCAAAGTGTTGCCATGGCTATAAATATAGACTCACTTTAACTTATATTTGCATTCGGATTTTATTTGTTTCGCTAATTAATTAATGTATCCATTCATTAGCCTTGTTGCTGTTAGTGACGCGATGACAGAGACTGGGACGACCCATGTAGCTTCTTGGACGACCAGAGACATTCGCCTTTTTATGGACTTGAATTTACAGCTAAAGAAATTTGCACACAACAGCGTAAAAACACAGTAAATATTCAGCAAAAAGAAGATTCCAGTTATACATGTACTAAATTTTCATTGATTGTTCTTGTAAGCTTGAGTGGTTACATAAACTCCACATACATGACGAAAAACAGACAAAAGTAATAGAATAGAACCAAACTGAATGCTGAATTTAAACAGACGTCACTGAAAAATTGAAAAATAATATCACCAACGGGTACCTTGATATAGAGCAGTATAAAAGCTCGCTGGTAGATGAAAAAAAGTAAAAACGTAATAATAGTTTCCACTTTACAATGAGATAGTGAGAAGGTTGTTTGAAGTGTTCCGTTGCTACAGTAGGATTACAGACAAGAATGATAAAAGTGTGTTCATAAATGCATATGATGTTTATTACGAATTGTATTTGGTATTTTCATGTCCATTGTTAGGGAGTTCTACAATTTAATATCGCAGCCAATTAGTCTCTCTGCTTGTACTTGCACGTGTTTATCAGTTGGTCAGTTAAGTTCGAATTTAAATACTAGTAAATGTTTTACTGCGTAACTTTCACACTATGTTTGTGTATTGGGAATTCGGCTAACCCCAACAATCTGAGTCGAACTAAACTAGCCTGGATCGACACTGGGATTCAATAAACAGAAACGTCCCAAAATGTAAATAGAGTTTTGATTTTCTCTGTTCATTTTAAAATCCTATTGTTGAAAACTAAATGTCGCCACCACAGACATAACTTCGAGCATCACAGCTAAAATCTAAATTGTGAGTATTTACTGTGCCGCCAATTCATCAACAGAAATTACGTCAAAAACCAAAATGTTAGATTCCAGAAAATATTAGAAATTCACTTGGCCGGTATAGCCACGGACCCAACAAACTTATGAAACTTTAAATATTTTACCGCGAAACAGTGAAAGAAAAGGATTCATTTTAAAGGGCGACAGTCGTCGCGCCGCGTCCTGTTCGATATGGGACTCATAGCGACGTATACAACGTGTGTAAAATACATTGTTTATTTACATGAAATTCGAACACGCGCTGCGCGACGACCACCGCGCTTTTAAACTCTGGTGAAACCATTTGTGATTTTACGTGTTTAACAAAAAATACAGAAAGTGATGACAAAGCAGAAACAACTTGAATAATCTGTCTAATTTCAAAAACACTCTGATTTACAGTGTACCTATAAAATCACCCAAACAGAGTATAGTATGTAATCGTATGCCCAAATATATCGTAATACACTGTTCAGTCCTGTCGGTACAACAAATATATTGCCTTGTCAGAACGCGTATTCAACGCAATGTCACGGTTACTAGAAGTAACAGTGGTAATATAGAGAAGACATACACGTGAATACTAGTATCCAACGACGCCCTGGTCTGGTTTGAAGAGATCTCAAAGAGCGGGTCTCTTGACTACACATCACCAAACTTTAAATATACATCGAAATAAATACAGTCACATCATCATGCCTGAAACAAATATCAATAAATTATGAATAAAGCCTTCAATTTGGTAAAAAATATCTACTGAGTTAATTCGTCTCTCCGTTGTCACCCCATCCCGGCACCATATAACTGCTGTAAACGGAACACACAAGTTGGTCGCATGTAGGACGCCTCAAACGACAAGTAAAAAAACACGTTCGTTGTTCGAACAAGCCAAGGCAGAGGTTACAGGAAATAAACAAGGCATTTTACGTTTTTACAGAAAATAAAATGAAAGTTCCATTTACAGTAAACAAAATAGGTTTTTACACTTCACAGATAAAGCAACTTCCTAATTACATTTTACATTTTTATAATATATTTGATAATTTGTGTTTAAGAATCAAAATTGGAAATTGTGTACGAATTACGACATTTAATGTGGAAAATGTTTTATACGCTTCCAAAAAATAACATTAATAATTACATTAATACGAAAATAAAAACAATAGATTACAGCTTATGAAAATGCACCTTGCCGACCCTCAATGCATAGTACATATATTCGAAACTGAACCGATAGAGGTCATGTTCATAAGTATCCCACATTGCCTCAGCTCACTGAGATAATATTTTAGTATAATGTATGCCCCGTGGAGGATTATTAAACATGCCGTTAGGTATATTATTCACATTACATGTGACACCCACCATAATTACACCTCTAACTTACACACTTCTCTTTGAAATTCATAGTTTGGAGCAAATACCTAATTATATTATCTAGTTATAACGTACTATAAGCAAGCCTTAACGAGATTAGTCGAAATGTGTCCGCAAGTTGTTGAAATACCAGTTCATGCCAATAACTAAGTTGGTGCGCCCTCTCTGGTACACTCGGCTGATAATTGTCGATGAACACATTTCTATTTGTTCACATTTTATTCCGGTAGTCATAGCGATTTGAAACTGACACATAATTAATTTAAGATCATAATTTATCAATCATATACGTCAATATATGTACCAGATGAGTTTCATTTTGGCATGTCATGTGACGTAACACTTATTTAATGATAACAGCATGCAAAGAACATGAGACTAAATATTTGGTCGACCCTGATTGTTCGACTATTTACATAGTCGTAGCATGAACATCACAACAATGTAATATTTTTGTATTTGACACAGCAAATATGAAAAATAGTAAATATACGCATCCCCATCACTCCATTTAAACGCTTTTTTTTCGTATATCCCGCGACCTGTACAACGGTTAAAGCATGCACTTGACTGGTTCTGTTCGAACATACTCGTTTTAAGGAAAACATTTAGGAGCTTAGCACTGAATTTTAAAAATAAATTACATTTTTATTATAATTTCAATTTTACAAAATGAGATACTGAAAAAAATAAAACATTGCTTTACCAAGAAACAAAAATCTGAGTTCGCTTTGAAAATAGCAACACTTTCTTTATAATAATATGTGGTTTCTATACGGAGGTAATATGTTCTATCAACTTGAATACAGACGTTTTATTTTGTTATTGTTATGAATCATACAAATATTACAAATCTTCGGGAAAAAAATCACATTTAGTTCATTTTTTAAATTAGCTAATATTTGATCATTACATTTATTGGAGGGTCACCCCAAACCCACCCGATAATATAACATGCTCTGCATATGAAGGCATACAAGCGGGTCTAAAAAAAAAAAAACTTATTTTGAGGAATGAGATATTTGAGATGTGGAGTAAGGCGACAACGACAATAATTGATGCTATGACTCAATGAATTACGTCAAATATAAAAATGAACTCGAATTCTCACGATGGAATATCTCTATGATTAGAAAGAAAGTCACGTAACAGTACAAGATTGTGTTGTCTATCACAACAGGACGTCTGGTGCATCATGGGAGAGCCATCATGTTGTATCATTTCTTCCTTCAATTATACGTTAGATATGCAATCACCTACGCACACGAGGTAACGTCATTGCAGCGCTAACTGTCCCTTTAATAATTGCAGTGTACAAGGCTTCCCACGCATCTGTGAATAAACTTTAGGAGGCCACAGTGCGCGTCTCTGTGTGTAGGGCGCACATTGATGCTGATTCGAGCTATCAACGTGCTTACCCTTGCATGTTTTAGACTATTTACATATTTCAGCGCCACGTGATTTGTTTGTCTGAGTACGTCATCAGATTTGTCATTTTAATCAGCCTCGTTCGTGGCCAGTCGTGCAATAATCCGTGAAATAGTCCTGCAACATATCTATCTATAACACCACGATTTAACAGGTAAATAAAATGCCGATAAATCCTTTTAAAATGTTGAACACTTGTGCGTGGATAAACCGGTGGCTCTGTGCGTCACCACGAGTCAACTGCGAACGAATCTGCAAGTCGCTGACGTAATCAATTATATTATGACGCTCACCAGAAATTTATTGCAAAAAGTAATCTTTAGATGAGTTCAGTTGAAATGAAAAAAAATCTACGAGATACTGACAAGACTCAGTTTTGGTCATTAACTGAATCACAGACCAATTTTTAACTGTTACTGCCTGATATAGCCCTGGAACAG